CGTAAGCCCTCAGAGAAAAAAGAGAAAAGCAGATGTCTTGCAATCTCGTTATTAATAATAATTTGCTGTTTGCAATTAAAGTAAAAAAGACGAGCTGATTATCACCCCTGATATTTTCTCCTTACTTCATTTGCGGAGACCAACAAATGGCATAAGGGTATAACGCCTTTTTTAACCTACTTAAAAGAACAAAAGCAAGTCATTTTGCTAAATTTATTACTATCTCGGTGACGGTGAAAAATCAAAAACTTTTAATCAGAGGTTTCACATTCGGTGTGAAAGGTTCTTTCATGAAGTGGCTTCTGCACATGTTACTATACAAGATATTCTCACAGACTGGTAAAAATGAATGTTGTTAATTATATTCATGCACTGTAAACAAACGGAATGGATGTCAAACCTTGACTTGAAATCTAAATAAATTGCATAATAAATAATATTTTTATTTTTTGATAACCTTCGAAAAAGGACAATAGGGTTAGGGAGAAAAGTTGCTCGTGTGCTGTTGAACTCTTTCATTGTTTTAGTCTTCACTAAAATGATTTTTCGAAGAGGGGAAGGAAGCTAAAAGACAAACAAGATTGGTTAGCGAGTAAAGCAGACAGTTAAGATCTTGCAATTTATCTGGTTCAAATACTGCCTGCGTCACGTTAGTACACAGTTACATGATTATCAAAAAAATGTATACTTTGCTTTGATACATAACTGTTTTCGTTACTCTGTAGGCAAACTTTCTTCTTGATTCGACAACCGAGTACGAAATGTTTCTTGACACGACGGATACATATTCCATTTTAGTCGCTATTTCCGAGGGTCATGACGTTCTTGGCCAATAGTCCCTTTACAAGCGACATTTGAATAAGCCACGTTTAGCGTTAAACTTTTATAATAAAAATCACATCCGCTTGATGCTGTTTGAAGAGATATAACAAAACGATAATAAACAGTATGGATTAATATAATAAGCAGTGACTGCAGATTTTTTCTCCAAAATAACTTATTCAAGTCGCTTTGATCCGTATTGTTCTGTTCTTTCAATGAAGCATTGCATGGTCGACATCCTCTGTTGATAGTCGCTCCAGGTTCCGCTCGCCTCTATGCTTTTCGTGCAATTGGTTTTCGAAGCATTCTCTGTCAAGACTTTTAAACTAATATTTTTTTCAAGACATTTTTCTTGAACACATCAACATCGTAATGATATTTTATTCAGCCTTCAATCAAAATTAATCCCACACAGAAGCAATTAATCAACGCTTTATGCTTGTCTCGCACGCATAAAGTAACAACGTTGCTGAGTTTTTTTACTTTGCCCCAGGTTCGCTAGGTCACACCTTTAAATCCTGTCGAGTGCGAAAACTCTTTTAAAGATTCTTTAACCAAATTTAAATGAGTTGAACCACTGCACGGATATATATCCTGTCGTTCAATTTCATCGCCGTATTTCATATACACGTTTCAATATAGGTATTGTCTTTCAGACCAAGAGAACAGTCTAGTTATTACAAGATAAAAAGTTTCTTTTTGCAAGACGATCTTTTTTGATATTAACTAAAGGGTGTATTGAAAAAAAAAAGACTTTTTAAAGTCTACATCCATTCAAGTGTCTGATAGGGTCAAGTTTAATGTATTTAAGGAGAATTGCTATTTTACCGAGAGGCGATTAACGACCAAACTCCGCTCCGTTTCTAGAACACTTGAAAACTACCCATACATCATTCTTCAAGCAGCACAGCACTAAAAACTCCCGACTAACTTACAGGGAAATGTATATTACAGATAGAGGGGGAAATTATTAATAATATCTTAGAGGTTTCTACAGAGAAAAAAGGAAGGACCAATATTATTTATGAATGGAACCGAACCGGACACCTAAGTCTGACTTTCACGTGCGATCCGCCCTCGCCTTCACGCCCCGTGTTCCAGTTTGCAAAGGGCATAAAAGCAGTATATCGTTCTTTTTTATTCTACGTGGGCTTGTGCTGGTGTAATCTCGATAAGTTTAGAGCACTTTGATTAAAACAGCTGATATTTTGAAAATCACGGACTAGGCTAAATCCTCCACCAAATATGTTATACCTTCAAATTTTCTAGGGAACTAGCTCTCGAGCACACCACACTCGACGAAAGACACCAAGACTCTCAAACCGTATTTTTTCTTCTTTCTTTAATTACTCGGTTCTTCTGTACACAATTCTACTTACAAGTTTACTTCATTTTGTGTGACTCTGGTTGATCTCTAGGACGCTCACACTTTGATATCACTGGATACGTCTCATTGACTTGTGCTGATAAACGTTCACTTCAACTACGGAATTCTTTCTCCACGCTTCTACACACTGTCTACGTTCTTTTCTACTCTGCCCTCTACTTTTCAAAAACTTCCTTTGCCGCTTTCTCTCCGCTCTCTCGAGCTCTCTCCTCACCAAGCGAGCTCTAACGAACATGCTTATAAATTCGCTATTGATAGATACGGGTGGGCATGCCAGCTGGCTAACCTTGGAAGATTTTAAAAACATTTGTTTTTCGAACACTATACAAACATTTTCACGAGACTTTCGGAATGAATAAACAAATTACAATGCTTCTGATCAACTGAATCAACCTCTGACTGCGTTAGCCAAAACAAGAACTTTCGTGTGGTTCTACTGAAATCAAGGTCAGAAGATAAACTTATGGAAGTTAGACAAGACCGATCGGTTACCGTGGACTTTGCAGCTCCTTGTAATAGAGTCCCGAGAACAAACTAGGGAGGGAAAGGGAATAAGTGAGTGCCGCTGACCGCCTGTCAGGCCCTAACTTTATCACGGTCTACCGGTCTCTGAGTGGAAAGCTTGGGAGGTCCTATGGAACAAATATCGGGGCGCCTAAACTGAAGGAGCCGCGTGGGAGGTCCGTGTATTTGTTACTCCCTAACGCTCTCAAAACTTCCTCCATAAACAGCTTGTAACTGGTAAACGGGTAAGTATTAATCGCTGTTTGTGAAATTAGAATGGTTATTAATGGAAGCACGCCTATTGCTAACCGTGCTATACACTTAAATTGACGCCTTTCAAATGGAGGGTGTTTGAATCCTAACCAGGACTAACTCGTTCAACCGTCAATACATAGGCTCGAAAACAGACCGCTGTTCGGGAAATTAAATCATGCTACTCGCTTTGGATAAGTGAAAACCGGACAGCGGTGAGCGGGGAAATCGGGTCCAGTCTTCGCATCAACGGATCATCCAGTTTATAGTCAGCAGATTACTTATTAAGCCTCAAAAAGCATACAACTATTTCTTTGTTTCAACATATCCATCAGAAATGTTGCAAATATTACCGTAATATTTGATATTAAAAGCTTTCTTGTTTAGGATTCACGTCGGTGGAACATATCTCAGTGTAAATTCACCTTTATGGAAATTGTAATGATATGGTTTTGTCTCAGTTCTGTGAACTGTCTCAATATTATTATAAATAGCCCTAAACTGTATTAGCATGGGCTTTTTTGGGCACATGCGAAATAGAGGATTGACGGCCACTATCATCGACCAAGTTTAATAATTAACAAACATATCAAAACAATATCTATTCTTTTTGGAAATGTTTCCGAACATTTCTTTATCTGCATTTTAGAGGTTTTTGTTTATGACGCTTCTTTGTCTCCTTTGTAGTCAACTATGTAGTCACAGCAACCGTTTGCGTCGTCTCTATATTTCAGAGACGTACAAAAGTCAGTTTCTTAAGTATTTGCCTCAGGTCAGATTGAACTACCTGTATATCAACAAGAAACTCTGATTGCAAAATAAAAAACTCACATCTATACAGAAATAAACAGAAGGAAAAAAACAAAATAAAAGGGGAAAAGTAAGATTAACTGATTATAAAGGTTAGATAATCATCTTAACCATAATTCCCAAGTTAAGCATTGAGTTGGTACCGCGATTATATTGGATGCCAATTTAATCTCCTTAGGGGAAAAGATCTTCGAGTAGCTGATATGCTCGCACAAATCTAATTGATTTATCAACCGTTAAAAAATATTTCTGCCTGCTTTATTTGTATGTTGGCTTTTTCTGATGGGCTCTTGATAAGGACAGACTTGTAATATTCAAGCCTGTTACATGCTCACCCCCGCTCGCTAGGCTAATGACTCAGCAGGAGACCAGCTTACGTGACATATTCAATAATTTCTCTCAGATTTTATTTTTTTCTTGGCTCTTTGCGGCTTTGTGAAGCTTGAAAGTAAGTCAACCAATTAAATTAATAATGTTTGAAGCTCCTTTTAATTCAATCGGGCCTTTCTTGCAATAATTTCTACGTGTAGATTTGCTTGTCGCCGGTAATCAAAGTGCGTGACGGACATCGTTCTGGTGATGTCACTCAGGAAGTTCGTAATACAAATTTAAAAACGAAAACTTCCGGAAAACAACTTAAAGGTTGTGTTTTTCTCGACCTCTGCCTTAACTTTTGAAAATAAGTCTCTCGTACGCTTCTATGGAAGAAACAGAGAACGGAACGTTGTCGGTGTATATTGGAAGGAAGTCTAGAAGATAAATATTCTGTGTGGCTGAGCCAAACAATTGATATAGACTTGTTGTCGTCTTTTATTCCTGCTAGGAATTACAAACCACGGTTCCGGTCACGAACTCCACACGACAATGGCAGTGATTTTGAGGGCAGGCGTGCCTCACTCTTGGTGTGTCTACGCGCACTGCGATCATCCAATGAAATGTCAGTGCCCAAGAGAGCGTGTAGGAGTATACATGAACAGGAAATTGCAAATTCAAAGTGTTGTGGTCAGTGCATCTTTAATTAGGAGGGAGAGGACGTGTAATAGAAATACGAATCAACTAGTTGTGTTTTTCCGTCTGAAAACGAGTGGTTATGTTTGATTGCTCCACTACACCTTTGGTACTCGAAAAGAGGCATGACAGAAATTTGATAGTGGCGTAATATTGCAGAAGGGCCTTGACAGCGAAGCGACTCGGAGTAGGACCTGGCGTTTAAAAATCTAGCAGCTGGCGTTTAGAAAATTTAGCACCTTGAGAATGGCAACAAACGACTGCTGCGAGATGAACAACACTTCAAAACCCTCTGTTGTGGACGAAGAATATCCCTTATCGCTGGTTGTAGGATATGGAATCTTGTATGTTGCTTTCTTCACATTCGCCTTCTTTGGAAACATTATGGCACTGTTAACATGCTACAAGAAATACCACACATCTCAATCGATTCTTCTCTGTTACATCTCGAGTCTTGCGCTCGCAGATCTTTTGTTCGCCGTCCTCTCCATTTTTGACACCGTCTACTTCTTTCTGGGTGATTGGCCTGGTGGCAATCCTGTGTGTAAAATTCAGGGGACTCTGATCGAGATATCGTACTCCGCATCAATATTGACCCTAGTAGCAATCAGTTATGAAAGATCGCGATCTGTCACATCGACAAGTCTGGCCAGAAATCGCTGTGTTGAGCAGCGCACCATAGTCATAAAAATACTATGGATTGTGTCGGTTGTTCTATGCGCGCCTTTATTCTACGGTTACGCAACGAAAGAAGAGAAAGGCGTGCAGCTCTGTTTGAACACTAACTGGGGTGACAGCGGGAGGCAAACCTACTACATACTTCAAGCAGTTTTCATCTTCATTTGCCCTTTAATTTTCATGATTTGGGCGCATACGAGGATTTTGCGCGTTCTGCGAACGCACGTTAAGAACACTTCAGGACTGGGATCCGTCGAGTCAAAACAACACAAGGTAACAAAGATGTTAGCTGTAGTAACCCTGGTCTTTTTTTGTTGTTGGTCTCCGTTTATCATCGTTCGCGCACTACGCTATTTTTACGTCTACGAGGGGAACGAACTGTGGAAACTCACGCAACTGATCATATTCGGAAATTCGGCAGCCAATCCAATTTTGTACTGCTTCTACAGCGGACAGTTCCGACGATCTTTCAAAGAGATTATCAGATGTAAATTCAAAATTGAAGCTCGACGTAAAAGTCGCACTGGAAGTCACTCAACCTTCGCTTTGCACAAGATCCGTCATGACAACGTTAAAAGAACCGCTGCGATAGAAGTGGCTCTCGATTCAACACTGAACAGCTCCACTACGGATTTTCTCTAGAAATGGAAGATCGCATGTTTCTATGCAATTCTACTAGCCTCTGAAAACAATTTTCCGCGCGTCTACTGAGAACATGAATATTTTAAGAATTCCCACTTGTAAACAACTCATTGAAAGCGCATTTTGACCGTCTGTATCTCTCACCTGGTGGTTCGAGGACCTTCATCGGAAAAACTGCACTTTGTTTCAAAAATAAAAAAGAATATCAACAGGGGTCGAGGACCTCTTATTGCGAGTTATATTGAAGTTTGGATCTCAGATCAAAACATTGTTACCTACTTGGATCATGTCGTTTCAATTGTTGAATACTAAACAACCGGATCTAGCAATTATAACGCAATTTCCGTCCGAAATTTTATGACCAGGTAAATTGTTTTTTGCTTATGATGATAATAATACCGCCAATTTCTTTCACAGCATGTAAGCAGATGAACTTTTCGCTAACAGGCGTTCATTTATGTTGCAGGATATTATGTGATAGATCAGATTGGTTTCTTTCTTGGAAGGCGTGTCAGTTGCGGCATAAGAAAATACATATTTCAGGTCAATATAATTTTCTAGAATAACATCTGCTTCTTGGTAATTTAATCAACTCCACTGAAATTTAAATATGAATACCGTAATTAGATTTTGTTGGGTTTTTGGATCTCGATTATTTTGACATTGTTGACTATTACGCCGACATCATCTAAAAAATCTCAAATACTAGGTATATGGAAAGATTCCTCTCTTTTTAGTTTCAAAGAAATCTTGTAAGCAAACCAAGGGTGATAATTTGGAATGGAAACCTGAGCAAATTAAATTTTATCCAGTGAAGCATGCTGCTCATCGAAACACTTTGTTTGGCTGACATTGCACTATCCTGAGGGCTAAAAATGAAAAAACCGCCTCTTATAAAAATTTGATCTTTAATTTGGGCAAACTAACTGGTAAACGGCATTGTAACTTACAGTACCGGTGAATAAAGGCTGATAGTTTCGAAAAAAACTGTTTGACGCTGCGTCGGTGGGGGTAACGAAATAATTTGGATGTATCAACAAAGTTGAAATAGTAAATTGGCAACCGTAACGATTACAAAAGCTGACGTTTCTAGCGTTAGCCTTTAATTCGTCGGAGCGAATATTACTGTACCGGTGTCAAACGACTTGAATGATATAAAAGTTGTAATGTTTATTCTTCAGTTAGGTTTTTAGCATGAAGGAGCTCTATGAGTCATTTTATAGGAAAATCATTTTAAGAGGCTAGGGTGCATTGGGATTTCGATTTGGAGTTTTGGCAATATTTTGGTTTTTGTGCTCAAGAACCTCCCTTTTTTTAGTTTCGGTGTTCATTGCGGTTTGCGTATTTTCCCCTTTTTAGCCGTTTGCTTTTGAACTTTTGTACAGTTTTGCGTTTTCTAATAGACCCCAATGACCCCCTCTTGCAAAAAATTTAAGATTCACTCCCAAAACCCTGGAACAGTATCATGAAACGCTAGAACTTACCAGGGAAATCGAACTTTTAAGCAGCTGGCTGTGTCATGCTCTCGCGCCTTTGGGCATGATCTCAAGCCAAATATTTTTCTGTCCGGCCCGTCAACTAAATCAGTAGGAGTCGCTATCGGGGCGTATTGTTGATTTAAGACTGACGAAAACAACAGGAAGAAAAATTTTTTTTGCCACGCATGAAACGTTCAGCACTTTTGAAGTAGTGTTTGTCTTTTTCTTTTTCTCTCTCGTTTTTTTCCCGTTTTGGTCTACAAATCACTGATCAAGTACCCAAAACCTTGATACTTTTGCCCCTACCCTTTAGCCATGTCCCTTACGAGTCTTACAGCAGTGTGCAAATGATGCAATGTTTAAACCGGAGTTCAGATGCCGAAAGGAAAAAAAATGGACAAACGAAGAATTGGCTTTTTGGTGGAAAACCCGAAGCTCGAAGAATACAGCTTTTAATTTTCGTGCCGTTTCCGTCACCGAACGAAAGATCTACGTTCTTCGTCGGGAAATCGTTTTATGACTGTCGTTCCCAGCGATCCTTGCGTGATAGGTTTGCAACTTTACCGCCATGAAGTACAGAAGTACTTTAGAACTGTTGGTGACTGAAATGCAACGTTGAATGTGTAGTTTGATATATTTTTTATATATTTAAAGCAGACCTAATCTCTGTTCGTACCGTATGTTAATTTTGGCCATCTTACTCGAATTCATTGCTTGTCACAGCCCAGAAACTTTCATCCATCGCTCTTGCGTCGGATCCAAGAAAACAAGAAGTCTTTACATCCAATCCGGTAAGGTGTGCTCCTTTCATTTTTAAGAAAATCTTCAGCTCAGTGTGGCATCGGATCTATAGGATTTGTTTCACGCTGACATAAGTTAAAAGAATGGGTGTTAATTTTTTGAGAAGAAATTAGTTTTTGGATTGTCACACGAGGATTGCGTGACGTTACAGAGAGAAAATAGAAGGGCGCGCGTAGATCTGACAAATCAACAGTGGTTTACCGTGGTCTGTACTCTTATCGACAACGATATTTGTCGTCACAGTGGTCTAAAGGTTGTGGACCAAGGAGGTGCAGCTGAGTGGGTGCACAACAAATTTTGACCACCTTGATGATGAACATCATTTTCTGTAAGAGTAGACCATGCTAAACCACTGTTTATTTGTTTGTTTGTTTTTTTTTTTTTCAACAAAATACAGACATCAAATAACATGATTCTTTCAGTGCATGTCACCTTGCCTGACATATTGATGCCAGGAGTGTTGCCTGTACTCTCATCCGCATGAGCAAATTGGTCAATCAGATTGCAATATTACTACTAATTGTGGTGAAAATAGAATTTCTCTTTGATGAGCTCACTTTTGAGCCATGAAGTTGAATACGAGAAGAGAAATTCCATATCTACAGGCAACCATCTATTATTTTATTTATTATAGAAGCACAATAGCCCTTTACTGACAAGAGAGGTTGACTTTACTAATAAATGAAAAAATAGGATCCAAAATCCCTAAAAAAAAATTTTATAGTGCATCGGTGATAATGCTCAAGATGAAAAAATGTGTTGAATCATTAGGTAAATATTAAATGTTTAATGATTGACTTTTTCCTTACTGAGAGAAGAAATCTTTTCAGGTACATGGGCAAAAATCAGCCAGTGGCAAATCTTTCATTTGGCAATTTTTGTTATCTGTCATGAAAAATGTCATTAACAAAGCCACTGAGTATGTAACTTCGGTTTTTCCATTTGTATTTTGGTTTCTTCCCTTTCTAGGAAATTTAGAAAGTGACTGTCTGGAAGCGTTACAAATTTTTCAGTGACTTAGCAGCCGTAATCCAAGAAAATTTTGACAAATGATCTTGGACTGAGACTAGCGAAGGCTTTGCCCTTCATTAACAGAACAGGGTGGTGCGAAAGGTAAGAGGGCATGATATTACATTTGCATGATAAAAAGTAGGTACCCCACTGATGAAAAGTGCTTTTCTTGCACGATGATTGGCCAGCTCAGAAGTGAGTAGCAAGTACCATTTACCTCTGAGTAGCTGAAGAGAAAAAAAAATCACACACCAAGAGTTTAATTTCTGACCATTTTTGGTATATTGAAAGAAATAAACTGGTTTTTCATATTTTTGTGGTATATAGTAAAACAATTATTCACCTCAGTGTCATTGAGAGTGGTAGTTATTTACCGAGCTGCAAAGCTCCACTTCAGTGAATAATTATTAATTAGTATATACTAAAAGAGTAGATATGGTTAAAGGTGCACTCTGTTTAGCTACTCAAACACTGAATATCCTTAGCTATTCGCCTCCAAGCAACTCACACCCAAAAACATTGTAATTATCGCAGGAATAAACAAGTTAAAAATCGTGTTTTGGAGGTATATTACCTCACTAATCTGGTTTATTAAAAACTGGATCATTGAATAATGCATTTCAAGACTTTTTATTGGCTTAGCCATTATGGTATATGAGCCAATATATCATAATCTAATATCTATACATTGTAACATCCAGTTTCTTCTTACAAAATAAAGTTGAGAAGATTTGTCTAATATCTTGGGGGCGTTTTTTTTTTTGATAGAACAATTATTCCACTCGTGTTTGTTGGATATGAGATGATTATAGCCAACTCAGTGCTATGCGCCTCATTGGCTATCTATCATCTCATATCCAACGCGCACTCGTGGAATAATTGTTAAATATACTTAAACAACAATTCACTTTATTGTTGGCGGCTAGCACCGCATAATAACTTAGCTGCTCCCTAGCGCAGTAAAGATCAACCACTAGCCACCTCCACTTTGATGACTAGTTGTTAATTATAGAAAAAGGAAAGTACAGATAACTCATCCCATGATGCATCACTTTTGACTCAAGATTCAGTGTTTACATTCTAAAATTTCATTACATAAGGCAACTTGTAATAAAAACAGGCTAGTCCGACATTAATTTTTACCAGCCTTGGGTATTGGACAGCACTTTTGTCACACTCTGAATGTATGGGCCACTTGGCTTATAAGACTTGATGTTCTTGCATTAGTGCTTTTGTAAAGAAAAGGATAACTTAAACATTCTTATACATTAAACTTTGTATCAAATCATGATCCAAAAGCTCTAAGTTATGAGACAGATTTTTTCTAATTCCTACCTGCTGTAGAAGTGAATGATTGTTGCTTAATATGTAACATTGAACAAGTTCCTATATTTGTAAATTACTTTTCTTACCATCTTCTTGTATTACTTAACAATCAGTGAACATCCACATATTTTGTTATTAATTGTGAACCTGTCCACTTACCAACTGATTTGAATGATTAATGTACTGTCTGGCTCACCCACTGACTGACTGGTAAGCTGACTTACAGATCGACAGATTGACTGACTCTCTGGCTTACTTACTGTCCCACTGGCTTGTTGACAAACAAACTGACTGACTCGCTAGCCAACTCACTGACCAGCTGACTGACTAAATGACTTATCATTGACTGACTGGCTGACCGACTAACTGGCAGACTGGGAGACTGACTGAGTGATGGACTGACTGGCTGACTGACTAACTGACCAACTAGCTGACTGGGAGACTGACTGGGTGATGAACTGACTGGCTGAATGACTGACTTACTGACTGACTAACTGGCAGACTGGGAGACTGACTGGGTGATGGACTGACTGTCTGACTGACTAACTGGCAGACTGGGAGACTGACTAAGTGATGGACTGACTGACTGACTGACTAACTGACCAACTAACTGACTGGGAGGCTGACTGGGTGATGGACTGACTGGCTGAATGACTGACTTACTGACTGACTAACTGGCAGACTGGGAGACTGACTGGGTGATGGACTGACTTGCTGACTGACTAACTGACTGACTGAAAGACTGACTGAGGGATGGACTGACTTGCTGACTGACTAACTGGGAGACTGCCTGACTGACTGAGTGATGGACTGACTGGCTGACTGACCAACTGACCGACTAACTGACTGACTGGGAGACTAACTGAGTAATGGACTGACTGGCTGACTGACTAACTGGCAGACTGGAAGACTGACTGAGTGATGGACTGACTGGCTGACTGACTAACTGACCGACTAACTGACTGGGAGACTGACTGGGTGATGAACTGACTGGCTGACTGATTAACTGACTTACTGGGAGACTGACTGG